CGGTAATCCGAACCTTTGTCACCGCGCCTTTGCTTGCGGACAACGAGAGCCAGTTTTTACAGTAGGCGCGCACACATCCCTTACGCTCTCGGAAGCCGGTAATCCGAACCTTGGTCACCGCGCCTTTGCTTTACAGATTGTAGACCCCATAAGCGTTTCCGCTGTTGGGGAACTAGATTTACGTATTTATTTATTTATTTATATGTGTGTATCTTTATCTCTGCATACATGGCATGTAATTGTATCTATCGAAATCTGTATAATATCTTTATTTATATACTAATATATATTATACTAGATGCCAAGGACATTCATATGTCCTTTCATTCCCTGTAGCGCGACATGCGCCAGCACTGAAATCACATCGCTCCTCGGCTGTTGCATCATTCACGAACAATGACATAGCCATGGATACAAGTTCCAGCTAGGAAAACCTACAAACATGTAGGAAACTCGTGCTCAAAGTTGTTTGCCAGAAGATCGAAGATTTTCGGTAGACTTGTAGTCTTGCATCGCTGCGTCGGCCCACACCAGAAAACTGCACATGCATACATACACACATGCATGCATGTACATGCCTTAGACTTGGATGGGGTGACTGCATGGTAGGGTCGAGGAGATGCACGCATGTCTTGGTGATGGCCTGCACGGGGCGGGATCGTTGGAAATCGAAGGCACTTTGGGGGACCACGGTCACGGGGGAAACGATAGCTGAAGCCCAAAACGCTCATGTTCCTCAAGCAAACCGAGACAGTCCAAAAATATCAAGCCAGGAATCCACAGTACGCATATTTATTCCTTGGGACAGTCCAGAGAAAGCAAAAAGCTGTCACTTCGAGCATACCCACTCTGTTCCCAACTTGATACCCGTACCCCGTATGTCTTTAGAAAATGTTGCAGGCTCGGCTTTGTAAATATGACCTGTGCATGTTGGGCTGAACCCCAAACCCTAGAAATATTCCGAGGTCTTCAGGTCTTCAGCAAGAAATTCTTCGAAACAACCCAGCGCAACAAACACACCAACGGTCCCGAGATCTTGATAAGTTTCGATGTGGCCCCAAAAGCAGAACAAAGGCAGCAGCCCAAAATTTGCTTTTCCCACGGCTAGCCCAAAAAGGCTATGTCGTTTGGGACTGCTTTAGTCTCGAAGACCGGCTTGTTCAAGACCTTGGGTGTTTTATTTGTTGGGGGCCGCCTCGAGGAATAGATTCGTTTTGAGTTTCTGGTTCTGGCTTTTGGATTGTCTCGAGGAATATTATCATGTTGGGTTTCTGATTTTTCTTTTTGGGGGAGAGCTTCGAGGAGAATGATCATGTTGGGTTTTGGGTTTGTTTCTTTGGGGCTGCCTCGAAGACATACTCATTCAGGTGTTTGTGGTTGGGGACTGCCTCGACGAACATGCTCAGTGTTTTGTTTTTGTGGGGTTGTCTCGAAGAGTGATATGTTGAAAGTGGGTCTCCCCTTTGTTTTGGGACTATCTTCTGGAATGTGGTCTCCAGAAGTCTCGGGCAACGGTTCTCTGAACACCTTGGAACCTTCCCGACCTTTTTGGAGTTTCGTTTCGTCGGATGGTTACACGAATCAGCACTGACGTCTCCAGCTGGGCATGCAGATGCCAGAAGAGGGTCCATGGCTGGTCAGGAGCCGCTTTCTGTGCATCGTAGACACAAGTCGAGAAGCGGCTGAGATATCTAGCCCGACGAAAACTTGCATGAAAGCAGTATGAGTTGGCTTTTAGCGCAGCGAAACATTTTCGTTTATCAACTGCTTTCATCGGTGGTACTGAGAAGCGTTTACACAATCGCGACTGCTGACAATGACCCGGCCTCCTCAGCTTTCCAG